CACTTTGATGGTACCCTTCGGTCACAGCTTCCCGACCCCTCACCGCTGAGTGTTACAGATTGCTGTTGATGCTCATACATAAACACGTCTCACTGATATCCTTATCACATTAATGACTGTAAAGAGAGAGGTTTAGTAGGAGCTGATTTACGTCCTTCCTCTGAACCAGTGATAAATGGATTAGTACTCCTACTCATAATTTGACCCAGAGCAGATGGCTATTAGAGAAATTTGGTAGTCTGAATGTCTGCGTCTGTGCTTTTAATCTCAGAGCGTTATAATTCTTGTCTGTCTGCATCTGCATGATTTCACTGCTTTGACTAAGGCTGTGTCCAAAACTCCATACCAACATGCTTTTTAGTAAGCTAACAGTATGTGAGTTTTTTTGGTCCAAAACCGTAGCAGATACAGATATGATTGTATACTGTTGCCAGTGAAATGTTACATATGACAATACTGGCCACCATGCCAGCATATACAGTACAGGCCAAAAGTTTGGACACACCTTCTCATTCAATGCGTTTTCTTTATTTTCATGACTATTTACATTGTAGATTCTCACTGAAGGCATCAAAACTATGAATGAACACATGTGGAGTTATGTACTTAACAAAAAAAGGTAAAATAACTGAAAACATGTTTTATATTCTAGTTTCTTCAAAATAGCCACCCTTTGCTCTGATTACTGCTTTGCACACTCTTGGCATTCTCTCCATGAGCTTCAAGAGGTAGTCACCTGAAATGGTTTCCACTTCACAGGTGTGCCTTATCAGGGTTAATTAGTGGAATTTCTAGCTTTATCAATGGGGTTGGGACCATCAGTTGTGTTGTGCAGAAGTCAGGTTAATACACAGCCGACAGCCCTATTGGACAACTGTTAAAATTCATATTATGGCAAGAACCAATCAGCTAACTAAAGAAAAACGAGTGGCCATCATTACTTTAAGAAATGAAGGTCAGTCAGTCCGGAAAATTGCAAAAACTTTAAATGTGTCCCCAAGTGGAGTCGCAAAAACCATCAAGCGCTACAACAAAACTGGCACACATGAGGACCGACCCAGGAAAGGAAGACCAAGAGTCACCTCTGCTTCTGAGGATAAGTTCATCCAAGTCACCAGCCTCAGAAATCGCAAGTTAACAGCAGCTCAGATCAGAGACCAGATGAATGCCACACAGAGTTCTAGCAGCAGACCCATCTCTAGAACAACTGTTAAGAGGAGACTGCGCGAATCAGGCCTTCATGGTCAAATAGCTGCTAGGAAACCACTGCTAAGGAGAGGCAACAAGCAGAAGAGATTTGTTTGGGCCAAGAAACACAAGGAATGGACATTAGACCAGTGGAAATCTGTGCTTTGGTCTGATGAGTCCAAATTTGAGATCTTTGGTTCCAACCGCCGTGTCTTTGTGAGACACAGAAAAGGTGAACGGATGGATTCCACATGCCTGGTTCCCACTGTGAAGCATGGAGGAGGAGGTGTGATGGTGTGGGGGTGTTTTGCTGGTGACACTGTTGGGGATTTATTCAAAATTGAAGGCACACTGAACCAGCATGGCTACCACAGCATCCTGCAGCGACATGCCATCCCATCCGGTTTGCGTTTAGTTGGACGATCATTTATTTTTCAACAGGACAATGACCCCAAACACACCTCCAGGCTGTGTAAGGGCTATTTGACCAAGAAGGAGAGTGATGGAGTGCTGCGGCAGATGACCTGGCCTCCACAGTCACTGGACCTGAACCCAATTGAGATGGTTTGGGATGAGCTGGACCGCAGAGTGAAGGCAAAGGGGCCAACAAGTGCTAAACACCTCTGGGAACTCCTTCAAGACTGTTGGAAAACCATTTCAGGTGACTACCTCTTGAAGCTCATCGAGAGAATGCCAAGAGTGTGCAAAGCAGTAATCAGAGCAAAGGGTGGCTATTTTGAAGAAACTAGAATATAAAACATGTTTTCAGTTATTTCACCTTTTTTTGTTAAGTACATAACTCCACATGTGTTCATTCATAGTTTTGATGCCTTCAGTGAGAATCTACAATGTAAATAGTCATGACAATAAAGAAAACGCATTGAATGAGAAGGTGTGTCCAAACTTTTGGCCTGTACTGTATATCCCATAATGCAATGCAGTAGTGACGACAACCTTAATAACAACAGCTGGACCAGTTGGGAACTACTTGTTTAGACCCTCTGATAGATACATGGATAGATGGATAGCTAGAGAGATAGATAACTTTATTGTCCACCTCAGTGGCTCCAGGGATGTTGGTCCATGACTCCAACACTTTGACCCCGACTGAAATATCTTGAGTAGTATTTGGATGGATTGCCACAAGATTTGGTATGCACATAAACATTAAATCTGCAAAACATTAGCTTGTTAGCATGCTGTTGTTAGCATTTAGCTAATGTAGCCATTATCTAGCAAAGAAAATGGCTGTGACATCAAGTTACACATAGAGGTTGCCCACGGTTCACATTTTCTAACAGCCAAAGTAACATTACACCTACAGATGGGATGAAAATGCAAGAACTAGAGAGGTACGTTATGCTCACACATGCTGGTCGAGCCGAGGTTATCACAGGTTACCATGGTTATGCGTCTCCAACCAGCAATGAGGCTCTCGGGAAGTGATGTCGTAATTACACCTCAGTGTGTCTGAAAAGATGCGTTCTACTGTTTATAGGGATGTAAATCACCAGTATCATCACAATATGACATTATATATCGATTCTTTGGACAGCGATACAACATTTGCTGATATTACAAAATCTGCCATGATATGATTTCGATTCGATGCGATTCAGAGGCCTGTGATTGATATAAGAAGATATTATCTGCCCATGTAACACAATCAGTTACAGAAGAAGCTATCACCCTCTTCTTTTTTACTTTTGTCCATAAAAGTTAAAATATCCTACATAGATAATGTGAATAATTGTGACTGCTTAATTGCGGTAAAGTTGACATTAAACTGACTTCACAAACATAAATTAAACAGCACATTGGACAAGTTAGCCTTCAGTGCTTTCTGGAAGAAATCTTCTTATTCTAACTCAAACCATCATCTTTTTCATTAAACTTAAGGGCTATCTGATTAAAGCCCTGAAGGCAAACTTCTCCAAACAACCATAAAACATGGACTAACAACAAGATCGTTAAACTAAGTACAAAATTCAGCTAAGTAGTAACTGTCAAGGTTCATGGAGTACACAGTTAAGCATGTCTACATTGCATGAATTAGCCTAGCGGCTAGCGGACATTTTTCCTCAACTCATACTTTAATAAATTACATGTATAATTTATACTTTTTCTTACTCACTGTTTGTTTTAGTCACTGCATCTCCCGACAGAACAGCTCAGTTCAATTTCAGCCTGCGTGCACGTTTTTTCAGCCGAACATTAATGAAACAAAGCAGCTCATGTTGCTGCAAGAAATTAGCAGTGAGATGGCGGCCAGGCAGCTAATGTTACATTGTGTTTTATCACATAACTGCATTATTTACATACGGCACATGCTTTGTCTGTTGACCCATACTTTCTCCTAAGTCTAAAATATTGCCACTTCGCTGATTTATTCCCGAATGAATAACGTTATCCTCATCGTCTTTCTCTCGGCTGCTTACCATCTGCCTGCTGCTGTTTGACCGTGACACAGAATTTCAAAATAAAGCGTAATCTTAAGCTTACGATAGGGATCGATGTTTTCACGTTGTGTCAGTGATATTGGATGGTTGATAATTGAATCGAAATATCGATCTAGATCGATGGATCTTTACATTGTTACAGCCCTAACTGTTTACGTACGCAAAAGTCTGTTGAACAATGGTACATGTATTGGGTATGGAGAACCTAGTATGTAATTTGAGATAAAGCATTTATCTGAGTTTATATGCAGCCCTGATGACAGACTAAACACTTGTACAGAGTTGCATTAAGCATGTTAAGAAAATCTTTTCCTCTTAAGTTCTCTACTGATTTCTCCAAAAAAATATGCATAGGACAAATTCATCTCAGGTCATGTCCTTATCAGCCTAATACCTTAAATTGAAAGGAAAAGCATCTTGAAGTTTGTTTCAAAGCTCTGAGGGATAGCTTAAAGTTCATTTCCAGTTCCATGATCATCCTCAGTAATGAAAACAAGAATATGCTTTATTTTCCTCCTTGGCAAACAGGAGGAAATGAGTGTTTTGAGACATAGAAACTCCCTATGGATACATTTTGGTATTACTTTTAGGTCATATTTGCTGATTCACACTTCTGGGGCATACTTACTGTGCATCATGTTTTCTCTTGGGTTATTTATGCATCTAACAACTCCAGCCTCCCCACCTCATTGCAGCTTCTTTTCCACAATTTTTCCAGCATTTTAACAACCAAACTGTTAAACACACGAACAACATAAAGAGTTTGCAGTTGCAACCTGAGCAGGAGCAGTGTTACCATGGCAACTTTGTTCATATTCCTCCCGGACTGTTTGGAATAATACAGGAATCTATTTAAGATGTTTCTTGTAATACTCGTGAGCACATTAGTTTGGAAACGAACAAGATAACATTGTAAGAGAAGTTCTGTTCAACCAGGCAAAGGTTGTGTTGTCTGTGAGGGACTGTGTGTAGGATTTGTGGACATACTTAAAATAACCCTTTTTGTCAAGATTTTTACTGTAGTTGTCGAGCTTCATGGCTTCTACTTTTATAACCTGCTTTCCTGACAGGATAAATTACAATAAAGCTCTTGTAGAGCAACAGATGTACAGTGGGAACAACCTGACTGCTGCTGAAGGAAATGACAGACTTGCTCACAGCCTCTCTGGGAGGAGACATTCACTCAATGATCCCATTAGCACAGATGAACACAGTAATATCATCAAAGCCGTCTAATTTCCTGCATGTAAACATGTGGTTTAATGACATTATTCCCATAGACGACATCACTCTTTGCTTCTGATTTCCGTGGACTGACTCTGCTTCTCTCTCTCTGTTGTTGTTGTTTTCCAGGAAAGCTCACACCCTCCTTGTATGAGGTTGGCGGGTGTGACGTGTCCCTGGTCAATTTTGAACCTGCAACCAGACGAGCCTCCAATAACGTATGGTTAGTGTCAAACTGATGAATCATCTCATTTGTTTAGTTGGATTTCAGATGATGACTTTGTTTTTGCCCACAGTTGAGCAGCAAAATTGAGTCTATATTGTTTTGACTGAATACAGATAATTTAATCAGTGATACTTGTATTTTAGTGTTGAGATTGTGTCAAATTGCAAGATAGCGAAGCAGCTCTACATTGTTGTTGCAAAAGCATGTTAGCCTGCCAGGTAATTCATTTAGTCTGCCTTCAAATGGAACTTGTGAGCTTGTGGTTACAATGCTGCTAGGCAGTGGCAACATTGATGGTGCTGTCGTGGTCTGGAAGCTACAGAGGCTAATAATTAAGCAAGCTAGCAAGCAGGTAACATAATGCCGGAATGGCAAAGGTGTGATAACAGAGGAAAAAGAAGAGGCCATTTGGGAATATCAACATTTTCTAGACATATAAAATTACAAAGAAAAATATTAACAACTAAAATTACAATATATTTACTTACTATCCAATGAAAAATGAACTTTAATGTCTTCCACCATTTCTGAAATTGCTAGTTAGCCTGACATTTGTTTAAATTCACTGAACATTTAAGCTTGACTCAGTTTGAACAACAACTTAACAGATGTCACATTGAACTTAAGGAAATTGTCTTAGGCGTTTTTCACCAGGCACAATTTGCTGACATTTTATAGATGATAAGATGATTTACAGAATAGAAGAGAAAGCCTTCATTGTCATCGTACAAGTACAATGAAATTAGGAATGCTACTCCTGGTCAGTGCAATAATGCACGCAGTAAGACAAATTAAGACAGACAACAAGCACTTATTCAGTAAATGTGAAACTAAAATACTATAAAAGGATGGGTTTTGCACTATAAAAACACGTGTATTGCTCTTAAAATATAGTATATTGCATTTAAAAATTGAGAGTTAAAATGTAAAGTGCTTAGCGGCTAACCTAGAAAATAATAAATAGAGAATAAGCAGTAATGAAATTAACACTCAGTTACAGCCTTAAACGTCTCACATCATTGCTATGCAGATGATACTCAGTTGTATTGATAAAACTAGTTCATACAAGTTGCAAAATGATTCTTGTCATTTGCAGAATTGGAGACCATAATACATGCTGACATGAATATTTCAATCCCACAATGACAATTTTTATATCAATTACACCACATGCCTCAACAGTGAACGAAGAATCCAAAAAGGGGGACAAGTCTTGATGAGTTTAAGTTATAGGGCTCCACATTTAACAGCAAAGCTATGTCAAAACATCACTTTAAAAAACTCTCACACAACTCGTGCAGTATAATCCAGGTCTCATTTATCCAGTTGTATGCTTAGTCTTTCCCAAATACGCGCATATTCTCTAAAACACTTCCACATACGAGTAGCGATCCTCTGCGAGAATATACACACAGGCTTTCCTAGGCACGTTACTCATCCCTGCATGAGACTGTTATCAGCGTAACACAGGGTGAGTAATTGATACACAAATGGTCATCTCAGGGGGTGAAGTATTCCTTTAAATGATGCTTGGTCAACATATTTTAAAATGTGCTCTACAAATAAACTGACTAAACTTTACTTGAGTTGATCTAAATGCGCACCAAATATCTTTTTCCTCTGTCATCATATTTTGTCTGGTAATCCACCTGATCTTTTTCTGGAGTCTGGTGTTTCATATTTTGACATTCTGTCTTTGTGCAGTCTCTTTCCACTGACTCCAATGGTGTGTACAGTACAAAAGCAAAGCAAATAGCCTATTGGCTATTTAGTTTGAGGTCACCAGGAAATGATTCACGATTTAATACAGTAAGTGCAGCAGATGCTTTTCTCTCATCAGTGTGCTCATTTTGTCTAATGCCCTGCAGGGACACCGACTCCCACCTCTCCAGTTCTACCTCAGTTCGCTTCTACCCTCATGACCTGGTGAGTACCCAACCAGTGAGCTGTAATGTGTGTGTGTGTGTGTGTGTGTGTGTGTGTGTGTGTGTGCGTGTATGTCTGAGACAAAGAGGAAGACAAGTAGAACTAGACTTGGCGAGTCAGACAAACTGATATACTGGACATGCGGACAAAAGCAAACTGTTTTTTCTGTCTGTTTAGCATATTTCTGCATATTATTTTGGGCATCCATGACTGTCAGTTTGAACAGTTGCTCTTGCTGTGTTGGCTGCTACTCCCCTCTTCCGTCTCTTGCCCTTTCTTGTTACCTCAGACCAAAGACAAATCACATTACACCAATTTTAAAATCACTACTCTGGCTACCAGTTGGCTCCTGAACCGATTTTGAAAACTGTTGATTGGATTTTAAAACCTTTTATAGCCTGGCACCTACGTACTTATCTGGTGCGCCTGTTCTATATGAGCAATAAAAAGGTGTCTTTGATCATCTGTTGCTGGTTTTTTAACCATTTGTGCAACATGAATCCAGATGGCTGGGAGTGGGTGGGGTGGTGGTGGGACAGTCTTTATGCTCTGTAACAGCCAAAATCAAACACTCTGAGTAGTATTAAGAGAAAACACTCTGAGTCTGACTCTTCTTATTTCTATTTCTTATTTAAAATCACACCTGTAAAATTACAATGAGTTATATTATTGGCCAAACTGCAGTATGAGTAGGTGTGACTGACCATGGGACAGATCTCCCTCCCTCAGATCCGTCTGAACCGTCTGCTGACGATGGACCCAGAGCTGCTGGAGCAGCAGGACGGAGATCTGAGCCCGGAGCTCCAGGACGCGCCGCTGGGACAAGAGGACCCTGCAGCCGCTGCTGCCGCCGGCAAAGCCAGGCAGTACTACCGCTTGTGGCTTCTGCCCTTCCTGTGGGTCGGCCTGCACTTTGACCGGCTTACCCTGCTGGCGCTATTTGACAGGTAATAAAAGCCCAATAATTTTATTACAAAGTATAAGGCAGCTTTATGTTTTGAGGCCCCTGAATGACACAGGATGAGTTTGTCAAACTTTGTTGCCTATGAACTATGTGTTGAAGATTTATTATACCAGAAAAGTGGCAGAATGTGCGAAGACTTATCCCATCTGCTGAGGAGTACCACAAGGTTCCATCCTGGGCCCTATTTTTTTACATATATTGTGCAGCCATGGAGCTTTTTTCAGAATCCCTTAACTGTTGGGCTACGTGCAGCGACGCATAACATGTGATATGCAGCTGTGCTTTCCACTGAATCCATGTTGTTGACTGGGCTACATCATGCCAGGCCATCCCTATTAACACAAAAGTCTTTCTGTAAATGAGTGAGTGGTGAAGTTAGACCTTTGGTCGGAGTGAGTGATGACGTCAGTGTTGGTGTTACCCCATTTGCCACTGCTGTTTGGAGGTGAATAGGTGCAAACAGTCCTGCAGTAAGTCCTCAAGTGGGCGTTTGTTCACAGCATTTCTGTTTATTAACTGCTGTTATAGTTGTCTATTACGTCCTCATGGGGCGTATATAGCAGCTCTGGTTATGACTGCCGTTCATTCATTCCTATATTCATTATTATCTATCACATGCTGCAATAGTGGCCAATGGCTGTGCAGCCTCTACCAGTCGCATGGTGACTTAAATCACAGATAGGAACTGAAGTCGGCAGGGTTGTGTTCGATGATCAGAGGGTACAGCTCCAGAGAAAGCAGGTCCCTTCTGCTGCGATAATCTAGATCGAGTTAATCTTAGTGTACTGTTCTTCATTTTAAGATGTGTTTATATTCATTTTTTGGCTGGACTACAACAGCAGGGTCTGTGCTGTCTGAGCAAAAGTCTGTGACTGAGTGCATGCCACTACTTCCTGTTTCAAATAAAAAGCCCTTTAGCATTTCAAACTAGGTCCAGTCATATACTAGGTTTTGACCTAGTCTTGTTTTTACTCAGTTACCCTGAGGATGGATAGCTCAGAGGACTCTACAGCTGAACGAGAACAAGACTCCACATTTCTTTAAATGTTCTTTTCTTTAAACGTTAACCACACATGTCATTAGGTCTATTGCAAAATTCAAATCATTCCATTTGTTAAGTGATCTGGAGACCATGCTTTTATCTCCCCTTGATTACTGTAATTGTCTTTATGTGGGAGTCAGTCAGTCAGTCAGCCATGTCTCGCCTGCAGCTCATTCACAATGCAGCTGTAAGGCTCCCCGCTGGCGCCAAGAATAAAGACCATATCCACCAGTGGAACAGTGGTTTTAAGATTGTTTTTAAAGCACTGCATGGTTTGAAGCTGGTTTATATCTTAGACCTTTTCAGCCTCTGTTTTATCTGTCAGCCCCTCCACCTTACAAACCAATCACTCCATGCTCCCAGTTCAAATCAAACGGTGATTTTTTTGTTGTCGACCCCACTCTGGAACAGCTTGTCCTTTCAACAGACATTTATAAATACTGTTTTAAGACTGGTGTTTTAGAACTACTTTTGAGTCTTTACAAATGTTATATATATATCACACCCCTTACATATTTTTTCCTAACCTCTTTTGATGTCTTTTAAACCTGGTTTGGCTATTTCACACTGATTTTTCTCCTCTATGTTACAGGAACCGTGAGGTTTTAGAGAACGTGCTGGCTGTAATGCTGGCCGTCCTGGTGGCCTTCCTGGGTTCAGTGCTGCTCGTCCACGGCTTCTTCACTGACATCTGGGTCTTTCAGTTCTGCCTCGTCATTGCAAGTTGCCAGTATTCCTTACTGAAGGTGAATATTTGAGTGAACAGCACAACATTGTCAGACTTGACCTGAAAAAATGAAATTGGGAAACGTTACAAAGAAGCCGTTGATGCTTAAAGATGATTTAATGCTTTGCTTACTCTGAGCTATTTGAGGTATGTTGAGAGATTTGGAGAATTCACCGGTGTCTTTTTGTACTTACAGAGTGTTCAACCAGACTCCTCTTCCCCTCGACATGTAAGTAGTTATAATTCTCTGATACTTGTAGGGCCATTAAAGTATCCACATTTTGGGCTTAAAGTTGATGATTGTGCTCTGAGTGATAAAAAGGTCAGGAGTGCAAAGTGTAGAAAAATAAGTGGCACTTAAACAACAGAAAATGAAATGACCTTTACACTTAAACGTTAGACTGCAGGCAGACAAATAGAGAATTAATTTCCTTTCATCTTGAATATGGCATGTAGTTATTATTCAGTATTATTTTTCTGTGTCTGTTTTGGTTCTTGAAAATGATGTTGTTTTTCCCCCTGCGAGTCTGTGTGTTCCTCCCTCCCTTGCGTCAGTAGCTTGCTCTGAAACGGCGTCTTTTATTAATGCAGCTCCTACTCAGCTGCAGGCACAAGCTTTAAATAGCTGGCCAGAGTTTAGACCACAGCTCGCTCTCTCACTCTTTGTATCTCCCCCCTTTTCCCTCCCTCTCTCTCCTCCTCTTCCCCCTTCATGTCGTCCTCTTTCCCTTCACCTCATCTCACCTCGCGGACTTCTTTCCTCCGCGACGTCATTGACACATTTTGAGCGAACCTGGGCTGTTTGATCTGATGTTGGTGCATAAACTCCCGTCAGTGGAAAAGCAGGACAGCTCATAGCCTCTTGGGTTGAAACCTGCACACTGCAGACGTGCATTCTTCCCTCTCTTGTGAAACCTTACACTTGATGCTATTTCTGCTTATACCTGTGTCACTGTCCCCGGGGCTCATATGACACTGATACCACTGACAGAATTCTTTCCTCTGAGAATGATTATTTTATCGAGTTTTGCAGTGAGAGTTCTTTGTCTCATGCTTTTATTCACAGTGTGTCACGAGGATACAGTGAAGGGCATGGTGGGAATTGGCTCCCTAATTGTGGCAGTATCATGCTCCAAAAATAAGAAAAGAGCCTCTTGTAAAAAGTGAAATCTACTTGAGGAAATGTTATTTGCAGTTTGGTATTTCCCCCTGTTCTCTTATTTAAAATGTACAAGGCTGCATGCTCTGAATACTGAGCTGTACTGGACCATAATGGGAAAGACCAGTTCCTGTAATGAACTCTTTGTACCACCATACCCTTGTCCCTGCAGGGCCATAATCGTATCATAGCGTACAGCCGGCCTGTCTACTTCTGCCTGTGCTGTGGCCTCATTTGGCTGCTCCACTACGGCAGTTTGAGGACCACTTCATCCCGCTTCACCCTGTACGGAGTCGCACTCACCAGCTCCCTGGTCCTCGCCTCTGCCAGGGACCTTGTCATTGGTGAGTACACACTCATGTGGCACTTATGTACAATGATAATATTGATAACAACGTCCTTCATTAGTCTGGCATTTTTCAAAATAAAGTGCTGAACAGAAAAAACATCCCAGCACACTAAAATAACAAAAATGCTGAGGAGAAAGAAGTTACAGGAAACAGAAGGATCACTTAATGCAGAAATGCAGCTTTATAAAAATGAGTCAGAATCACTGGCAGAGTTTTAGGGTTGGGTGCACATGGGTAAAAAAGCTAGGGTTCCCACAGACATGGAAAACCTGTAAAAGTCATCTCTTTTTTCAGTCCTGGAAAAGTCATAGAATTTTGTTTTGTGCAAAGAAATTGTGACATTGTGACTGTGCATAACCTTCAAAGTAAAATTTATTGTCTATAGCAGTTGACATAACGTTACTCTGACATGAGTTGATGTGTCACGATTGTTTATCATTGTATATTTCCTCGCAATCCATCTCTTCCTCCGTGTTATGTTTGAATAGAGTTTAAATCTGATGTGGCAAGTGGGACAAGAAAAATAATGTGACAGTGTGATTTAACATGCAGGGTCATGAACCCCAAAGTTTCCATACCTGTGCCCCACTACTGCTTTTAAACTGTGCACAGTTTTGAGATTTAGCAATTGACACTGGCAGCCTACAGTGTGTTATAGTCACTCAGAGCACCACTGCTCACTTTGGTTTAGTTTTAACTGCTCTGAATGCAGAGCGTGACAGTTCAAAGGTACAGATCATCCTTTTTTGTAACAAATTAATCAACAGCCCGACTAAGCTGTCGGCTCCCCCACTTTGGGAGTTTTACTGGTCCAAGTCCACAGTCTCAGAACAAAAATACTTTGCACATCTATTTCCAAACAGGTGTGTAGGAGAGGGACAGCCGAACATATCTCGTAGAGGAACTCCTGCACTCTAACTAACTTGTAAATGTGTGCTAGACAGGGTTCCCACAGGTCTCCTTATCAAAACGTTGCAGCATTAAAATCATTACTTTTGCAAGTTAGACAGTGCAGGAGTTTTTCTACATGCCGTGTCCACTGACTATAATAATATAGTTAACATTTGAAGTAAAGTAGCTTACACTGTACACTTCTGTTCATGTTATATGTTGTGATTGGTCATGGAAATCTTATTATTGGTCCTTGAAAAGTCATGGAAAAGTTTTGAAATTCTGCCCATGAACATTTGTTGGAATCCTGGCAAGAGCTCGACCATAAAGTGCCTCAAAAGAAAAGAGTAACATCTTACAATCAGTTCTGAAATCAACAGACAGCCACTGCCATATGGCTAAAATCCAAAGTCAAAGTCATAGATAGTCGTAGATTTAAAATCTTTCTCATTGGTTCCTGTGAAGAGTCTGACTGCAGCTGTCTGTATGAATGCTGCCTTCTCACACTGGGAATGACATGACAAAGCAAAACACAAATACAAAATATATGTTGATTTTTTTTTTTTTTTTTTTTTTTTTTTTGTGTTCAAACCTTTCACACCAATGCCGACAGAAATATTCACATTCCATGCATTCTACCAAAAATTAAACTTCATCAGTTCATCGTTGTTTTGCAGCTGGGGGCGGGCTTGTTATTTCAAGTGTGCAATACTGTGTAGAAAATTAACAATGTGGTGGGTTTCATCATTCATGATCAGACTGAACAGAGTCCAAATGTGTTTGTCATATGTATGTTTGTGATACCTTAGGCTTAATGGTCAGTTCATAATGGTCAGCTTTTTTTTTACCAGGGCTCAGGTTCTCAAAGAAAGACAATAAGCTCACATGCTTCCATTGCTAGTAATATCAATAACAGCCTAATTATAATCATAATAATTATTATTGATGTAAATTACCGCTTGTCCTTTATGGACAGGGTTTAAAGTATGCCTTTTACAATGAATACATGTCATTTCTGACAGTTATAATGTTCACAGCATGATGTCAGATAATGCACTTGGAAATGAGTGGTTATACGTTACCTTGACAACAAAGTATGTTTTGCCCTCTTTTTCTTTTCTTCTTTTTTTTGAACATAGTTTTTAATTCAATTCCAGCCACTTAAACAATTATTTTCTTCTGTTTTTTTTTTTTTTTACAGCTGTGCCTATGTGGCTTACAGGCAAACAGCAATTAATTAAAATAAACCAAACACATCCCAGCTAAAAGTATTGATTTTGAAATAAAGCAAAAGATATAAATTAGGAAAAAGGAATGTTGGACAAAAAAAGTAAAAGAAAAAAGGTAAAGGTTAGGAAGGGGAGTTATGTGTGTGTATACAGTGGTGTGAGTGTGTGTATGTGCATTAAGAGTTGAGTCAAGTAGGGGAGGTAAATATACATATACGCTGTAAAATATGTTGGTGGATTTCGATTACTTCACTGTGTTAGCATGGCGACAGCAGGGCCCCATCTTTTGATAAATATTTCTTTTTGGAGTCTCAAGGAGTACGTTATCTGTTCCATGTGGTAAATTTCCCAGGTCAGGTTTTAACCACTTACTTGTGATGCATTTAAGTGCTGCTGTTGTCAATATTTGTAGTTTACCCCTCTTTTGATGGCTGCTCACCATCACAAGCAAGTTCAGCTGCTGCACTGCCCCAGATGTTGTCCTTACACTCATTATCTATAACTTATTTTAGTTGTCAAAGAGGACACTGTTTTGCAGTATCCATATTGTTTTGTGACAGAGTGAAGAGAATTATGATACTGAGAGCAAAAGTCATTATTTTATTTGTTGGCTTGTTTTTATCAGCGCCGGAAATTTGCAGAAATGACAACAGCTGCGAAAATCAGAGTTTTCTGATTTAGTGTGGATACGCTCAAAGAGAGAGATTTATTTGCACAAAATATTCATGTCTAGTGTAAAACATGAGAAGGCAAATGAGCAGAGAGTTACAATGATCAATTCTTAAAAAGAAAGAAAGCATCAATAACTTTGTTGAAGCCAGAGAATTATAAAGTCGCTGTAGTACTTTTTTAACACGATCACCAAGATTACAGTCAAAGATAACTCCTATATTTCTGGCTCTAGGTTTAATAGAGGGTCATCAATTTATCATTGTTTAAACATTGTAGTTTGGCTGGAGATTTGTTGTGCCATGGGGCTATTAGTAAAAGGAAATTGCTCTGAGATTAATCCGCTGTTGCTCGTTAATTGTTTCCCCAACACAAGAGACAAATTCAGCTGCATCATGATGAGAAGTGCATCTGTCAAAATGGTGGGAAAGTGTAATATGTACATGAGCCACAATCTCTCCCCTACAAGTTAATTTGTTTAGAGGGTGTTAGAACCACCTGTCATCAGACAACAATCAGCATTAATTGCTGCAGTTGCCCTGGAGATGTGTGGCTGTGCACCAGTATGAACCAGTAATATCTGTAGCTCAGAAGATGCAGAGTAAAAACAAACCTGATTTCAAAGAAAACTACAATGTTAAGATAATGATCGGTGTGTAATTTTGTCCCCTGTGTGTTTCCCCACAGTCTTCACTCTCTGTTTTCCCATCATCTTTTTCGTGGGGCTGCTGCCACAAGTCAACACGTTCGTCATGTATATCTTTGAGCAGCTGGACATCCATGTGTTCGGGGGCAACGGTGAGTGACTCTTAGATGCACCACTTCTCCGCAGGGGTGACTTTGACCTCCACAGAAGGAGACAACAGACACTCACACACTCTTGCCTTATATATTATGATATGGCAGGCTTCACAAGAGGCCAGAGTGCTGATTTGCATTCTGCCTGGCCTGGTGCCTGTCGTGTTGACTGTTCTCATTGCTGACATCCTTTCTCCATGCTCTCTGCAGCCTCCACAAGCCTTCTGTCAGCGCTGTACAGCATCCTGCGCAGCATCGTCACCGTCGCTTTGCTTTATGGCTTCTGCTATGGAGCTCTGAAGGTGAGAGCAAAGTCAGCTTAGCATCTAAATCTAGTCTGGGTGCAATATAGTCAGCTAGATGTCGTCTAACTGTAATCAAAAAGGAATCATGGCAGAAATCCAGTCTAAATGTACTTTTAAATCATGTCCTCTCAAGCTAGTGAAAAGTACTGTATTTTAACCACAGCTTTAGTTTGAAATAACAAGACCTCAACATTACAGCAGCATTAGAAACAAAGGTGTTTGAAGACAGTGACACACAGCAAAACTGCCTCAGTATTGCTGCTTTGTTGATGTAGGAGAAACCTGTTGCCAAGGAATATTCTTGGCAGACAATAACATCCTTTTGTCAATTAACTAACTTTGTTTGCTGTCTTGGATTGTTACCAACTGTTTATTACCAAACATATTGCTCAGCTCTTTATCATCTTAAACCTGCCAACAAGTAATATCTGATTTAATTTAAATTTCTGCACTGTTGATGTAAACAAAGGCTCAGCCATTCAAACTGTAATAGATTAATGTTCACTTTCTCGAACAGAATATCAACAGCACAAAGAGTCGAAAGCCACACCAGCAGCTCTGCGAGGCTGCACTTAGGCACAGTGGTGCTTTAAGCTAAATGCTAACACCAGCATGCTAACACATTAAAGGATAACATCAGCATTTTTCAACGTGGACCCTATTTGCCCGTGTAAATTGGTCAGGACTGATGTGAACAGCATTTTTTGAAATTGGTCAAGTATAAAGAGAGCTGGCAGCAGCCGGTAGCCTCAGAACAGGCTGTGATGAAAGCTCATGGGGCAATTGAACATGCAGTCTGTTTGTCGCTTTCTGACGTGGTACCGCCACTTAACTTTAGCAATAACAAACAAACCATATCAAGAGAAAGGTAATAAAGAGACACCTCAGACACTTGCAGTAACAATCTGAGCCGCTCTGTGGCAAAAATAACCAGTTTTAATAGACATACAGTGACATTGTTTAGTTGAAACACCTTAGATTAAGGTGTTAGCATGCTAACATTAGCTAATTAGCCTGAAACACAAAGCACAGCAGAGTCTAAACCAAAGTATTAAACAAATTAATATTTCAACTTCATGCTGGATTCAGTAATGATTCCATGTATGTTAAAGGGACAGTTCACCCCACAATCAAAAGTACATATTTTCCCTCTTACCTGTAGTGCTGTTTATCTGTTTTGGTGTGAGTTACAGAGTGTTGTAGATATCAGCCATAGAGATGTCTGCCTTCTCTTTAATAAAATGCAACTAGATGGCACTCAGCTTGTGGTGCTCAAAACGGCAAAAAAATACATTTGAAAAACACAGTGCATAAGGAAGCGTGCATCTACTCATGGATGAGAGTTTCATGACAGCACAAGGTATAAACATTAATGGCGTCCTCCTCGGCTGAGCTGTAACATTAGCTAGCTCAGTGGTGCTAGGTGAGCTAGCAGTAGACGCACGCTTCCCTATGCATGTTGATATGTTTGGAGGGTGTAGTTTGGTAGAAAGAAAATAGTTCCTACATGAAACTGCTCACAACAAGGTCTGTGGATTATCTTGAGTAACCAGGTCATGATTTTTTGAAAAGGACATTGCTGTTGAGTTTTTCAAAAGTATTTTTATGGCACTGTGAGCACCACAAGCTGAGTGCCATCTAGTTCCATTATACTGGAGAGAATGCAGACATCTCTACAGCTGATATCTCCAACACTCTGCAACTCACACCGAAACTATGTAGATTGATAAATAGCACTGCAGGTAAGAGGAAAAATATGTGTTTTTTATTTCTGGGTGAACTGTCCCTTTAATTCTTACTTCCATTGTTGCTGGTGGAAAAATAGACTATTTAAATATTAATATATCAAACCATGTCATTATCTGTGTTTTAGGAGACCTGGGAGCCTCATCACATCCCTGTGTTATTCTCTGTGTTCTGCGGCCTCTTGGTGGCAGTGTCTTACCACCTGAGCCGGCAGAGCGGCGACCCTTCTGTCCTCATGTAAGTTCACTGCCTGGCACAGCAGACCTCACTCTGATACTATGTGTAGTATCTGAGCTGCGGTGGGTTCTCAGAGAAATAAATATCAAAGTGACGTTCAAATATTTGCTTTAGTGTGCGTAAAAATTCTGGCACTGCTGTTCGTATGTGGTGAACTCGCCCATCTGGCACATAAGCAGGCAAAAAACACATCATGAAAAGTATTTTCCATTAACTGCTTGACCCACATCTGCTAGAAAGAAATCCTCATTAATGAATAATCTGTAATTTTTCTGCTCATACATATGCTGTGTGGATTATCTCACGCTGGGATTTTCTAGGCATTTTAAAAATGTGCAGTTCAAATAGCTTGACACTTCCTCACACAATGGTTGTAGTGTTAACAGTGAGTGATTCCCTCTGAGATACATCACCCTCAGGAGATTCATGCTGTGTGAACCAGCTCATGTTTTTGCTTTTTTTTTGTTTTACAGCTCGCTGATACAGTCCAAGATTGTGCCCAATTTAAGAGACAAGAACCCAGAGGACCCTCTGTCAGAAGTGCAGGACCCTCTACCGGAGAAGCTCAGGGCCTCAGTGGTGAGTTGACCTCCATCATGTGTCTAATTAGAGCCAGGACGAGGTAATTGAACTGGAATAAAGGCTGTCGTTAGAAAACATCAGACATACAATTACATTTATTAAAGCTACTGAGGTCCTCAAAGGGTTGTTTTCTTTTTTGTATTTCTAATCCTGTCTCCATTTTGTGTTTCTGAATGCACAGAATGAGCGTCTGCAGTCTGACCTGATCGTCTGTGTGGTCATTGCTGTCCTTTACTTCGCCATCCACGTCAGCACCGTATTTATTGCACTGCAGGTACAGTAAATATACTTATTAATGATAGTCTGATCTCAGGCTCTTTTATGGATGAGACACTGAGAAAACAAGAAAAGATCAGATGTGATGTCCAATGCTTTGGGAAACAAAAACCAAGAGATGACAAATGAATTACAAATGGCTCCATACTTAATGCGGTTTTTAAAGTGGTCCTATGCATGCAGACTAGGGATGACCCTGACTGGTCGACTATTAGCGGGCAGCCCTGGTGCAGACAGATACTCACAGTGTGTAAGGATTAATGTCTCCTGTCTCTGTGCTCCCTCAGCCTTTCCTCAGTTATGTCCTGTATGCACTGTTGGGGACGGTGGGGTTGCTCACTCACTACCTGCTGCCTCAAGTCCGCAAGCATCTGCCCTGGTACTGCTTCTCTCACCCTCTGCTCAAAACGAATGAGTACTATCAGTTTGAAGTCAGAGGTAAGAACAGTGCATGACACAGCAATAAAAACATGGCTTATAGTATCACTACTTTTAATTGGTTTTGTATAGTTGAGCCTCTCAAAGAGGACCTATTATGCTCATTTTCAGGTTCATTATTGTATTAAAGGTTTCCACTAAAATATGTTTACATGGTTAAATGGTCAACAAAACACAATTTTCTTCACACTGTCTGTGCTGGAACACCTGTATTCACTTTCTGTCTTAAACGCTTTGTTTACGCATCTGTCTCCCCTCCTGAAAAACCCAGTCAGCTCTGACTGGTCAGTGTTTTCAGGTTTTCCATATCTCTGCATCTCTGCACTGTGATTGCAGCTGGGGAATGACTGAAACAGAGAACAGCAGCACTTTCTACCTTAAAAAATCCCTATTTAAAGCAACTAAACACAACCTGACATGTTCCAGCAGGAATATGATCTGAAATTTGGGAGAAATTAACAACATCTGTCAACAAGAATACAAGTTTCCCTGGCGTTAGCATGTAGCTACATGTAGCAGTGAAGGCTACGTAATGTAAACACTTACAGTAGCGTGCCTGGAGCACATGACCATGTAAAGAAATCCAGCACACTATGATGTTATTCAAAAGCTGACCTCATTATTCAGTACTTTGGCCATGTGTCATATGAATATCCTTCATAGTAACACTATATATAAGACACAAACTACAGAAAAGCATAATAGGTCCTCTATAAACTGTCCTAGATGCAGAATAATTAAGTTTCTCTTCCCCTGTCACTGTCTCTCTCTTGTCAGATGCAGCTCATGTGATGTGGTTTGAAAAGCTTCACGTGTGGCTGCTGTTTGTGGAAAAGAATGTTCTCTATCCGCTCGTCATCCTTAATGAGCTGAGTGGCAGCGCCAGAGAGCTCGCCAGTCCAAAGAGACTCGACACAGAGTGAGGAGTCTTACTGTTTTATAGCACCTTTGTATTTAAAATAACCCTGAGTGGTAGGGGTGTAACGGTACACAAAAATCTCAGTTCGGTACGTACCTCGGTACACAAGTCACGGTTCCTTTTTTTTTCGGTACAGTAATGAAAAAAATAGACAACTATTAAATATCTTTTACTTATTGGTAACCTTATTAAAACATACCACCACAGCAGTTAACTCTTTTTACACAATTTTTGAATTAAACAAATATATATAAAATCCTGCTTTTTCACATTGTTTGAATGAAAATAGAAATATAAAAGTGAAAAATAAAATCCTGCTGTTTTTTTAACACATTTTTTGAATGAAAAATATAAATATGCATTTCTGCTTAAACAATTTTACTCAATTAAAATAAAAAGTATAGTGCAGTATAGGTCAGCTTTAAAGCCTGCTCAGATTCAGTTTTACTAGGAACTTACTTAGCTTTCCCACTTTGTTAAAGTGCTGTAAACAAAACATGCTTATATCTAAAGTGCAGCTTAAACAATTTTACTCAACTCCAATGGCGTTGATTATTTCTTTAGCGCGATGGTCAGGGAAACGTTCTTTCTTTTTAAACGACGACGATATCGTAGTTTGCACCAGATTGCTTTTTCTAGTCATGCTGGTTAACGTTCAAACTCGAGTGGTGTTGCTTTATATGCGTTAGCATGTTAGACGTGTTTCCAAGTACATACCCGACCGTTGTTCTGCAGTGTCGGCACACTGCTTTTGTCTTGTCCACTTGTTTATTTCCATCTTCGTATTTTACCCTGAAACCAAAGTGTTCCCAAACGGAGGACTTAAGGTTTGCGGGTGGGTCTTCAAGTTCGTCAGGCTCACCTGCCATGTTGTCAAAATGCGAGAATGTGCTGCACAAAGTGAAAGCGGAGATTTACGGTTGGACTCGGTCCGTCACTCAATTATGTCCATCGGGGAACTAGATATTTTAAATGGTTCGGCTCGCAAAATTGGAATTAAAATAAAATAAAATAAAATAAAATAATATCCTGCGCCCAATAATTCGGTACAGGGTCATGCCGAACTGAAAGTGGCGTACCGAACGGTTCGACACAAATACATGTACCGTTACGGCCCTACTGAGTGGCGGATCATGAACTTCACTAGCACACTGCACCACACTTGTACCTGTTTATTACCTCAGCTTGATATTCCAAAAAATATAAAGCAGACCGATTTAATAACTTTGCAAACATTTAAGGAATATTTTGACATTTTGGGAAATGCACATATTTGCTTTCTTGGAGAGTAATGTGGGATTTATACTTCTGCGTCAAATAGACTCCGTACCTACGCTGTAGCCTGACGTGCACCTCCCCAAAACTAGTGCTTTTATTTCACAGATAAGAAACAATAAATTGTGAAGACTCCACAGTCTTGTGTGTGATTTATCCTGGCTTCATATGAGCAGAGGAAATCGCCATTCGTCACTAGGCTAATTTATACAATGTAAAATAACCTTAGCATGTTATATTTGTTTGGAAAACTTGTTTAGTATAAGACAGTTGTTTTGTCAGTGAACCTTGTGAGTTGTAATGGAGGCGAATTTTGTAACGTTACCTTTGTTAAATGTTGCTGTTGTCCCTGGCTTCATATGAGTAGAGGAAAAGTCTGCGAGCCACTAGGCTAATTTATACAATGTAAAATGCCATAGGCTTGTGCTAAAGACATTAGCATGTTGTATTTGTGGGGAAAATGTGTCCAGATAAAGACAAGTGTTTGTCTGTGAATGCTGCGAGTTATAGTGAAGCTGATTTGTGCACTTGTGTTTGACATTGTCGCTATTAAGTCATGTTTAATGTGTGTTTAATGTGTGTGTGAACCCGTAGAAGCTCAGAACGGCATAGGCCATGTGCGTAGGCTACGGCGTAGGCTCTGCATAGAGTTGACGCACAAGTATAAATCCCGCTTAAGATGAGAGGAATGATGCCGCTCTCATGTCTGTATATTGAATATGAAGTTACAGCCAGCAGCTTGTTAGCTTAGCTTAGCATAAAGACTGAAAACTGGGGGAAACAGCTAGCATGGCTGTGTCTGTGTCTCTTTCCTGGTGTTGTTGGCGGGCAGATTCTGTAACCTGTTACCAAAATAATGAAATACTTTTCTTGTAGCTTACAAATACTACACAGCTAATTGTTTCAGAATCTTAAAAAAAATATATTGTTTTGTTTCTCTGTTTGTTTTACACTTACAAACTCTGCCGTGTTGACTAACTACCACACACTGATGTCATTGGTAATGTCCTCCAGGGTGGGCGCTCTGATGATCACGATAGCTGGCCTGAAGCTGCTCCGTTCCTCCTACAGCAGTCCCACCTACCAGTATGTGACCATCCTCTTCACCGTCCTCTTCTTCACCTTCGACTACCGCCATCTGTCAGAGACGCTGCTGCTTGACCTCTTCCTCATGTCCATCGTTTTCAGCAAGGTGAGAGGAATATATAAAGAGTCGTACAACCTGCCTGCACTGCTCTGACTCTGTTCAAGAGATATCATGTATAATGTCATCTACAGTCTATGTAATTAAATACAAATGATTGATACTGCATACTCAGTTATTTTTGTAACGGCCAGGACAAAATATAACAGTATTTTAAAGGTTTTATACACAGCTGCTTACATCCATGCAGTTATCTATACTGAAGCTTCTCTCTTTGATGTTTGTGTTTTTACAGATGTGGGAGCTGTTCTACAAGCTGCACTTTGTCTACACCTACATCGCCCCCTGGCAGATCACATGGGGCTCAGCCTTCCACGCCTTTGCTCAGCCCTTTGCTGTGCCTCGTATCCTTCCACTGCTGTCTCTTATCACGACGTAAACTGTACACTGAGTCACTAGTTTCTTAGTTGGACCTGTACTACAGTGAAGTTGGTGGTGTTTCAGAGAGGTGTTTTCTCACAGTCACTGTCATTTCTGAGGTCGTAGCTGTCGGTGGTTTTGGATTGGACAGCCCTTTGGAAATGAGGGTGGGCAAAGCACTAGTGTAATAAGTGAATCTAAATGTATTTAGTCATCACACAGGCAGTAAATGTTATGTATATTCGAGCAAACATATTTGTCAAGTGATCCTTGATCCAAGCTCCTCCAGACTCTGCTATGCTGTTCGTCCAGGCTGTAGTGTCCGCAGTCTTCTCCACTCCCCTCAACCCCTTCCTGGGCAGCGCCATCTTCATCACCTCCTATGTCCGTCCTGTCAAGTTCTGGGAGAGAGACTACAAGTACGCAAAATATTTTCACGATACCATTCTATGTACAAATCTAATACTATCTGTGAATACACTTCTGAAATTTGTGATTTTCAATCTCTGCAGCACCAAGAGAGTGGATCACTCCAACACTCGGCTGGCCTCTCAGCTGGACAGAAATCCAGGTGAGGACATTATATTCAGTTTTCATTTCAATTTCATTTTTCGTTTAGATAATTTTGGCAGCTCAGAGGATTTGATACAACTGTTCACACCTCAACACTTGTTTAAGTTGTTATTCCTTATTTCTTTTGGTAGTGAGACATCTGTAACTTCTCATTTAATCTGTGCTCTTATGTCACACTGGTGATTTTAATATAAAAGAAGAGGTTTGATTCTTTATTTAAACATATAAAAACAAGATACAATGCATCATTTGTAAAGAAATGTGAAGGAGAATTGCCTAAAAACCCTCAATAGTGGCATCCTGCAGGCAGCATATTACAGGAAATAATCACAGCTATATAATATACACAATTTGTACGTATCTATCAGTAATTTTAGACACAGTTCAGCACAGCTCTTGAAAACAACGCATCATTAGAACACCCATCTGTTACACAATAATGATTAAGTCATAGTCACAAGACATGCTGGCACACACACCAAGAACACCTTTCCATAACACATGCAGGTAATCACTATCATGAACAGAGGGAGACACTCGTTTGATATTGCTTACTGTTTTCATAAGACAAAAAATAAAGCAGAAAATAAACACAAATAATGGGAGAAAAACAAGCATTAATCATAATAGGCCTTTAGACTTGTATGGCAGACAAACACATTGAACCAAGCTTACATAGGCCGTAAATCTGTATTGAAAATATTGGCTGGTTAGAGGAAGTAATTTCTTTTGTCTCAGAAACTGCCTTTAAGAAATATTAGAAAACAAAATGTAAAGGCAGGGAAGCCTATATTTTGGACCCTCAGTAGAGTAAACTAGACTGAGCTCTGGAAGTACAGGAATGGGGGGGTCAGAGGAGACATGAGCAATATGTTGAATAAGTATGACATTGATAACTGTATGCAAATATGTCATGAAAAGTAAGGAGAACGTTTCTTGTTAATGAAATATTACCAACGCCGACCTGAGGAAACACAGGCTGAGAGGAATGTCTTTAGTGTACATAAGTTATTATTCTTAGGGCTTGTTTTTTTTACATGGAATGTAGGCTGTAAAGAGTGCTAGCCCAAGCTGTATTCAGGGTTTCCACTCTCATGGAATTAGTGAAAACTATTTTAAGTTTTGGAAAAGTTTGGGCGCCCATTAGCTCAGTGGGTAGAGCAGGTGTACACAGGCAGTGTCCTTGCTGCAGCAGCCACAGGCTTGATGTCAGCCTGTGGTCCCCTGCTGCATGTCATCCCCCCTCTCCTCTCACGCCCTAAACTGTTGAAAAACCGGCAAAAAAAAAGATCTTCTATTTCAGTGATGTCAGTGACTAAAAAGAAAAATGCAGTAATATAAGTTTTACGAATCTGCCTCTCTTCTCTCCATCTTCAGGCTCTGATGACAACAATCTGAACTCCATCTTCTACGAGCACCTCACCCGCTCCCTGCAGCACAGCCTGTGTGGAGACCTCCTGCTGGGCCGATGGGGCAACTTCAGCACCGGGGACTGCTTCATCCTGGCCTCCGACTACCTGAACGCTCTGGTGCACCTCATCGAGATCGGCAACGGCCTGGTCACGTTTCAGCTCAGAGGGCTGGAGTTCAGAGGTGAGACAGGTCTCGTGTGGCACAGATAGAAGTGTCGGGGCAACACATGTGTCAGGGGTTTGGTTAAAATTGATTCCCACTGGAGCTGCCTGTGTAACTGATGACTGAATGTGAAGCAGTCAGATATGTTGATCAAATATTCAGGCGATGGCTCAGGTGTTATGGGGAGAAAAATGTGATTATACAACACTGTGCTGTAGCTGATGCAATCAGTGACACTGTGGCCTGGGAACCAGACGAATCTGCGGGCTGATGTTTTGTTTGCTCTGGCAGATGCCAGATAACTTGAATTTGGGATTTGGTGTGGCAATGGCAGGCTAGTGCCCAACCCAATTTAAAAAAGTAGTGTTTAGTAATTGTTTTTGTGCAGATTTAAAGGTATATTATGCAGGATTGTCAGTTACAGTATGTAAACACACTTGCGAGTGAAAATCAAAGTAAAAGCTAACCCCAGATTCACTCTGGTTTTGTGTTTCCCTCACTATATTTCCATTTTTTCAGCACTGTCTCTTGGATGTCTGCTGCTTGCAGTCTGGCACCTGGTCGCTTTCTTTATATAAAACCCCAACCTCACCTGACCGCTGTTGGGGTACATGCCCTAAACTTATCGAACACAGAAAAAAAGTGCAGAGTACACTACCACACACTTCTAATAGGTCATAAGTGATAATTGAGATGGATTACTTCTGCATGAGTCTATATATTGTTTTTGTTTGGGGGTGTTTTACTAAAACTCCCCCACTTGTTTTTCCAAGCACATTAAAACTAAATCCCCCCAGTTATGTGCAAACTGCTTGAGTTAGGTCTGGATATTGAAGACGGTCTAAATGTTGATCATTATCCAGTTCTCCAGTATTTCCATTTGTGACTTTGCATTCCAGTGTTTTAATCCAGTCGTGCTTTATCTACCTGTGAAACACACCTGAACATGTGTTATCAGCATGACTTCAGCCAGTAGTGTGCTGCTGTAAACAGACCTGCCGAGACAGGTTTGTTGTTGAGCAGAACACACTGCATGTGACACACTGTGAACTTTTTACAGAATTGGAGACAGTCATGAGACTCATCACCTGTGTGCCAGCAACTTTCTGTTGTCTGTCACTTTGGAAAACATGATCTGTTTTTTACAACATCTTTTGTGTGTCAACATCGGTGTTTAACCAGTTTATATATGTGTGATTCAGATGTGTCAGTGGGAACACTTGATTTTCTCTTCATTTATAGTTTAAAAAACTATATTATATTGGCAATAATACATTTATAAATAACCTTGCGTCTCCACATAAGTTTAGATCAGACTCTTGTTGTGTTTAGTATTCCCTCTATATGAATCTGTTGATATTTCCATCCGCAGGAACTTACTGCCAGCAGAGGGAAGTGGAGGCCATCACCGAGGGAGTGGAGGAAGACGAGGGCTGTTGTTGCTGCGAGCCAGGCCACCTCCCTCACATCCTGTCCTTTAACGCCGCCTTTGGACAGCGCTGGCTGGCCTGGGAGGTGCTGGTCACCAAATACGTGCTGGAGGGCTACAGCATCACTGACAACAGCGCCGCCTCCATGCTGCAGGTGTTCGACCTACGCCGCATCCTGACCACCTACTACGTCAAGGTAAGCGTGATGCAGCTGTTAATAAGGAGGTGTAACTTTTTTGTTAATGATATATGATCTAATGATCCATTTCTGGTCCTTAGGGTATCATCTACTACGTGATTGCCTCCCCCAAACTGGAGGAGTGGCTGGCTAATGAGACCATGAAAGACGGCCTGCGGGGATGTGGAGAGAGGAACTACGTGGACCTGGACCCCACCTTCAACCCCAACATCGACGAGGACTATGACCATCGACTGGCAGGCATCTCCAGGGACAGTTTCTGTGGAGTCTACCTGGGCTGGATCCAGTACTGCAACTCTCGGAGGGCCAAGGTAATGCTGGGAATGCTGTGGTATCAGGATGGAGCTAGTCTGACTCACAGGATGTAAACTGTGCATAGAAGCCTGGCACTGCCCGCTTGTTTCAGACAGGATTCTCCTCCCCTTCTACTAACTGTGTGTTACTGTTTTTCAAGGGCACCATCACTGCATCCTGGGCTTAGAGCCGCCCAAGATGACAGTGATTGGTTTAAAGAAATGCAAACAACCTAGAGTGTTTTTTAAGCCTCAGCTCCAACAAAAACTGTGGCCAGAGGCATTATGTTTTCAGGTTGTCCGTCTGTAAGTCCCATTCTTGTGAAAGCAATATCTCAAAAATTCCTTGTGGGAATTTCCTCAAGCTGGGCACAGACACACTTTGCACATGTATTTCATTACAGGTGCGTAAGAGAGGCCTGCCTGATGAAGGTCTAGTTACCAAAAGCAACATGTTTATTATTTTTGCAAGTTAGACAGTGTGCAGAAATTTGTCTACAAGTTCTATCCAATAGCTGAGAAGTCAACTTCACTGTGACATCATTCTCGGAACCCATCGGCTGTATTCGGCGTCTGACTACCGACAGACGGCAATACAGCTTCTGGGGGCAGACCCCCGATTTTTTGGCATTTCGGTTTGATTTGGGCGGAGGAGGTGAATTTCTGTTTCCGACTTCCTTTGTATATAAGTAAATATGCTGAAACATTGCGATGGATTCACAGTTTGCAGTGATGCCAATTATGTTCCGTCTCGTTAGTTCACCGCACAGACCGTTTAACCTGGCAACAACTGCAGCTGGCCCTAACAGCCTATAACCAGAAACCAGGGCTCTTCCGCTCTTCTTCTGGAGGCAAGATCTCTGGGGTTTACGGATATAGAGACTACTGTGACATAATGTTCTGAGCATTATTTAGCACTATTAGGAGCCATTCACATGCCATGTTTTTGCACCCTCAAATCCATTGTTGTCACTGTAGACAAGCAGAAGATGTGCACTCTGAAGATCAAAAGCAAGAGCATTATTTTCGCAGTGTGCAAGCGTTTACCAAGCACTTATTTTTGGACAGCTGTGCTCTGAGATAAACAAAGTTAACCTTTTGGAGTGTGTAACACAAGTAGCTGATCACAGCTGGCAGATATCTTTCCTTTCTTTCACAAATGCTGTGCTGTGGTAGATATGGAGAAGAAGTTTATGATTTTAGAGCAGTGCTACCCAGAGCTTCACATCTTTACATCATGGATAATATGTAAGGCCTATTACAGTGTTAAAAAACTACGTTTGTGAGAATATCGGCTCTGAACACGTCATTTATGACAAGGTGAAAAAATGACATGGTCTTGGCCCTGACTACTGAATTTGTGACACTAATCTTGATTGTCCATCTTGAAACTGGTAGTTGTATAGATCATCTGTGCTGTTTGATATGTTGTAGATTATGTAGCTTCTTTGCAGCAACATCCACACTTGAAGTGTTGTCTACTGTCATGGCTACATATGAGTCTGGACAGACAGATATGTGAACTGCAACTTGACAAGTAAGCAGAGGCGTACAACCACAAGGCAGTAATTCTAGTTTTTCATAGTGCAGAATAATGATGGGTTCAGTCAGACCTTTCTGCAGCTCTGGCATCACGCTAAAGCAAAGTGTGTGGAGAGAGCTGGCTGAGAGAGACAAGGCAACACACATTCACTTACTGTATACAGTTGGGCTTGATATGGGTTGTATAATTCAAATATGTCAAGATGTTAACTCCTCACAGTCAGAAATATTAGCCATTACTTCTTTTTTTGGTGAGACGTCGCATTTCATTCTTGTGGAAATCTCCTAAACCCCCTACTATATCGCTGTGGCTTAAGATTGTGAAATGCTCCTCTGATAATTATACTCGGAAATTGAGTTCTTTCATAAATTATTTTAATTCCTTAAAAACCGTGTCCTTGGACTACACCAACCCCCCTGTTTTAATTTATCTACATTTTATTTTTTTATTTATACATATTTAATTTATTCATTTGTTTTGAATTTATTTTTTTTACTATTTTTTCATTTTATTTTTATTTTTCTATCTACCTCTCCTTCTTTCTCTTTATCCAAGCTTACTTTGGGGTCTGTTTGCAACCAGACTATGAACACATTTCATTGTACTGTCTTGTTTGGAAAAATACTAAAAATATCAAAATGAAATGATATTTTGGATGAAAGTTGTAGGGATTATTTTTGTGGTGTTTCCTGGCAAAATGTGAGATAAAAAAAAAATACACTGAGAGTATAATAACTCATGCTCATAATTCAAAAACCTTAAAAAGATCAAAAGTGGTGCACAGCAGTTAGATTTTAATCAAACTTTAAAGAATGATGTGTCTCATCACTTCCCTCAGGGCTGCTGCACTTGGGTCACTCGTTGTCAGATGACATGTTTTAACAAGAGATAAAAAAGGGAATGAAAATGTCAGGGCCAAGGGGTGAGCTTCACCCACATTAAAAGTACTTGTTCTTAGTACTGTTAAGATTTTGAGGCACTTATAAGTTAGCACTTGATGAATCTTTCTTGTCTCTGCTTTGTTTGTAGCCGCTGGACAGCGAGAAGGACTCGGCTCTGGTGCTGCTCTGCTTCGGCCTATGTGTGCTGGGACGGAGAGCTCTGGGAACAGCTGCTCATCATATGTCCAGGTTATTTAGTAATCTTCATTATAATAGGTTAACCTTTTATAATGCTTTAATGGCTGAGAGAGAAAGTTCGCCCTATGTAGGGCAGATAATGTGACACATGTGCCAGAACAGCAAAAAATATCTGGGACGTTCATGTTTTTGATGTTTCCTCTCTAACTTATAGGATACTTACTTACTAGATAACAAATGTGGAAAAAGACACACACGGTCTGTGATTAACAACATATACATGCAAACATATATTCCCTTTCTGTCTGTGCTCTGGATAAACACATTTTAAACCTGCTGAGTCATAATAAAACTATATGTGCTCGATCTTTTCTTTCCACCGCAGCAATCTGGAGTCTTTCCTTTATGGACTTCATGCATTATTCAAGGGCGATTTCCGCATCTCTTCAGTGCGAGACGAGTGGATCTTCGCAGACATGGAACTGCTCAGGAAAGTTGTGGTGCCTGGAATCCGAATGTCTCTCAAATTACACCAGGTGAGCCTCCGCAGGGGTCGTAATGTCACACGGAACTGCCTTTAATGTCGCTCTCAGGGTCGAATTTGATCTGTGACAAAATGTTGTTCTCTCAGGACCACTTCACGTCCCCAGATGAGTACGATGAGCCGGCGGTTCTTTTTGAGGCCATCTCCTCCCACCAGCAGAACCTGGTCATCGCTCACGAGGGCGACCCAGCCTGGAGGAGCGCTGTGCTGTCCAACTCCCCGTCGCTTCTCGCCCTGCGACACGTCCTGGACGAAGGAACCAATGAGTACAAAATCATTATGCTCAATCGACGATACCTCAGCTTTCGAGTCATCAAGGTGAGAACTGCGACAGACTCAAATTAACCTTTGATTCTTTGATTGACACAGTACATGATGAGAACTGAACCTCTTGCGCTGCAGGTGAATAAAGAATGTGTCCGCGGCCTGTGGGCGGGGCAGCAGCAGGAGCTGGTGTTCCTGAGGAACAGAAACCCAGAGCGTGGGAGCATTCAGAACGCCAAGCAAGCTCTACGGAACATGATCAATTCTTCTTGTGACCAGCCCATTGGATATCCCATCTACGTATCTCCACTGACCACCTCCTACTGCAACTCACACCCCCAGCTCGGACACATCCTGGGAGGCCCCATCAGCATCGGGAATATCCGAAACTTTGTCGTCAGCACCTGGCACAGGTTTGTTACCTTCTGCACTGTTAATGTTTTCTTCTTTCTTTCTCTGTGTGTTTTAATCTGACTGTATTTCATTAATGGATGATGTTTATCTTTTCTTCTGTAGGTTACGGAAAGGCTGCGGTGCTGGCTGCAACAGTGGAGGCAACATTGAGGATTCAGATGCAGGGGGGTTGTCCTGTGGCAGTGGGAATGGAACAGGGGGCGACTCTCAGCAGAGCTCAGTGTCGCAGGGTGGGACCTCCGGACCTGCCCCCACCCACACGTACCAGCCGCACACTCTGGGTGAGAACTACTGAACCAAACAACCACTAGTATCATAAATTGCACTGCAGCTACCTTTAAAAATGAACTTACAGGTTCTTTATACGAAATTGAGAGCATTAATACAGCAGCAAACTATTTGCTATGTAAAGATAAAGTGGAGTAATGGCATCCCGGGCAGAGAATGACATCACAATCCTACTCTGTGTGATGTAATCTGAGCCTTTCCACTCTTTGTTGTGGAAGACAGTCCGGCTGAGCAAACATGTTAAGACCCAGACACACCAAACCATCATCGAAGAACTAGTGGCGACCTGGGCCAACTTTGCATCTCCTCTCGTCGCCTGTGTCTCATCAAAAAAGTTGCACATTAACACAACACAAAGACTACAGCCAATAGACAACTAGCAAGTACGTTCTGCACCGGCGTGAAAGGAAATAACTGTCCACACCAGCAAGAGGCGGTAGTCTGTATTTGTCAATCAAAAAGGGAAACAGGGAGGCTGACAAGACAGATACAAGACGATGGTTAGCCAGTTAGCACATTAACAAGTCAACCGATGTTAAAGTGCAAAGCATTTATAGTGTGGAAGCAAACACTAACAATTGCATTATGGGACATGTAGGATCCAACTATTTTAAAGCTGGATCCATACAGGGACTGAACTCCAGGATATCAGGTCCTCCGCTGCTTCACACCTCTGGAAAGTCCCTAAATTTTATGAGACTGCAGCACTAAATCACCGGAGTGCTCCTTTAATTTCATGGTCTACATCTGACTTCTCCACCCTGTCTCCAGGCACCAGTCAGAGTTCCCAGTCTGTTCAGTCTGGTTTGGTACGACACTCTCCTGCCCGAGCGTCCGTCGCCAGCCAGTCATCCTCCTACCGCTACAGCAGTAGCCGCCACTCCTCCCTGCGCACCTCCACCACAGGCCTGGAGCCCTGTCGACGTTCCTCCACCAGCCAGCTGTCTCTGCGCACGCTCCCCACCTCCCTGCAGCTCCGGCTGGGCTCCACCTCCGACCCCGCCGGCCCCTCCGCCTCCCTCTCCAGCCATAGCATCCCTCCCTGCAAACGCCACACGCTGGTGGGCCTCCTGGGCAACGACGGCCTGTGCAGCACCGTGACCGATCCCCTCAGCCAGCATCATCATCCACATCATCACCACCCGCAACAACACAACCCCACCGTCTCCACCGTGCGCAGAGATGACATCTCCTACAGAGTGCAGGTTTGTAGAAATGATGTATCAATGAGCAGGAAAGAAATCATGTAACATATAAAGATATATTTGCCTGTCAGTCATCTCTTTGAGAAATGACCCTCAGTCCTGCCGCTGTGATGTTAATTCAATTCTTCTGTGACGTTGCTCAGGTTTCAGATGTCAGTCAGGTGCTGGAGAACATCAACTTATCAAAGCGGAAGGAGCTGCAGTGGCCTGATGAATCGATGAGACTGAGGGCAGGACGGACCTGCTGGAGGGACTGGAGCCCCTTAGAGGGCATGGAAGGACATGTAAGTCTTCATCACATGCTGTTAACACGTCAGTGTTAATGGGTTCACCCTCACCCTCTCTTATAATGCACAGAGTGACAACTGATTTTTATGTTGAGAAACAAGGTCACAGTAACCTTGACCTGGGACCACCACATTCTGGGACCCCAGTTAAAAGAATCTAACCAGTTCATCGTTACCTGCTGCCAGCCCAGTGGCAACAATGAACTGGTTAGTTTTGGTGGTCAAAGGTCAAGGTCACTGTGACCTCACATCCATCTCATTCTCATGAATACCATATCTCAAGAAGGCCTTGAGGAAATTTCCACAAATTTGGCACAAACATTCACTGTGACTTAAAAATGAACTGATTGGATTTTGGTGGTTATAGGTCAGGGGTCACTGTGACCTTGTCTTTCTCATTGTTGTTAATACAATACCTCAAAGACACCTTGAAGGCATTTTTTTAAATTTGGCACAAATGTTCACTTGAACTTAACACAGAACTGATCAGAAATTGGTGGTCCCAGGTCAAGGTTACTGTGACCTTGTTTCCGTCTGATTCTCATAAATGCAATATCTCAATAAGACCTTGAGGGAAATTCCTCAAATTTGGCACGAACGTCCACTTGAACTCAACGATGAACTGATAAGAATTTGGTGGTCAAATGTTAAGGTCACTGTGACCTCACTTCCATCTCATTTTCATGAATGCCATATCCTAAGAAGGCCTTGAGGAAATTTCCTCAAATCTGGCACAAACGTCCACTTTGACTCAAGAATTAACTGATTAGATTTTGGTGGTCAAAGGTGAACGTCATTGTGTCTTCACGTCCATCTCATTCGCTTTAACACCATATCCCAAGAACACCATGAGTGAATTTCCTCAAATTTGGCACAAACGTCCACTTTGACTTAAGAATGAACTGATTAGAATTTGATGGTCAAAGCTCAAAGTCACTGTGACCTCACATCCATGTCGTTCACATTAATGTCATATCTCAAGAGCACCTTGAGGGAATTTCTATAAATTTGGCGCAAACCTCTACCTGGACTCATCGATGAACTGATTAGATTTTGGTGGTCAAAGGTCAAGGTCACTGTGACGGTCAAGGGTCAAGGTCAAGGTCACTGTGACCTCACAAAACATGTTTTTTGCGATAAGTCAAGCATTCATCTTCTAATTATGACAACATTTCACACAGATCACTTAACAGGATAAAATGATGAAGTGTTATATCCAAAAGGTCAATGGTCAACTTCACTGTGACATCATCAAGTGCAAAAACATTTTTCTGGCCATTATTTGATGTCATATCTCAGGAACAGAAGATGAGACATTCAGATACTGAATTTTGGGTTCCCACCTTGAAACTGAGCTGATTGTGTAGATCTGTGCTGCTGGGGGGAAGACATGTGAAGCATCCATGTTTTCACAGACACGGATTTAAGTGCGACTTAACAGGTGTGCGGAGGCGTTTTTCTGCAAGGTGTTAATTCCAGTCGGTTTATGGATGAGCACACATGATCTGTTGTGATGTCGCTGTGTCACATCCTCTCAGCTCACTCTCACACTGTCTGACCTCTTGTGCTATAAATGTGATTTTACTGTGATTATCTTGTTTGTACTTGTTTTGTCCTATTTTTTGGCCTGTAACACCCTCTGTGACCTACTTACTCAGTAATAAACGCTTCATAAATTTGATTGGATGCTTCCTCACAAAGCCGCTTCCTGTGTTGCCCTCTGCAGGTGATTCACCGGTGGGTGCCTTGTAGCCGAGACCCAGCTAATCGCTCCCATATCGACAAGACCATCCTGCTGGTACAGGTGGAAGATAAGCTAGTGCCCATTATTGAGACTGGGGTCATTGAGTTGGGTGCAGAGGTTTGAGACAAGCAAGCACAGACATCACACACACGCACGCACATACACATGCCTATACACACGCTTGTGTGAAGACAAAGCCAGACGTCCCTGGCTTTCAGCAGGACGAAGGAGCCTGCAGACAAACAGGAAATGGGAGCTCTCCCCCCTCCCCCGTTCCTTATCGCTGAGGGGGAAAGGAAGCCAGGGAAAAGTGCAAGCAGAGGCAGAGCATACATTCACCCTACATCCTTTACTGCGTCGACACACATCCACAATATCTGCCTTGCTTTGTGTCTCAGAAATGCTGCATGACAGTAAACAACCCTTAAGTTAAGTTAGTTCTTGCTACTGGTAATTAATTTCTATGCATTTCATCAACTCTTTTATTGGCAATTCTGACAGAGCTGAGTGTAAAGAGCGTGTGGAGAGTTTTTTTGTCTTTTGTTTGTCTTTAAGTAATTTGCCAAAATAAGCCTGGTATTGAATATTTGCCATGGTTTCACACATGTGAAAGCTTTTTTATTTTTAGTTTTTTCCCGCTGCCAAGAATACAGCGACAGTTGTGGTGCAGAACAGACAGAAGTCAGAGACTCGACGGTGCTGTGCTCAACAAACTCCTCTGTTTCATTGTTGTCATTCCGTTTGGATTAGGTTGAAATCTGCAAGAGTATTTTGCGCAAAGAAAAAAAAAGAACTTGCACTATAATTTTTTGTTTATTAATTTACAGTGATGCACTACACTCTTTAGATAATATCACGTTTTATTTATTACAGACTCTGAATGGCCATGGTTACCGATGCCTTGGGAATGAAAAAAATGCAATCATCATTCTGTTTTCAGCCATTTTTATTTTACTATTTTATGTTTGATAAACTTGAAAATAACTTTTTACTGTATATGATTA